TGTCGGGTTGGCCAAGGTTACTTAATGATCCTGATCAAATCATTTCTTCACCTTTCATACCCGGATTCTCCACCAGTTGACGTAGGGCGTCTTTTGGGTGACGTAGCTTGTCTTTTGGGTGTACTACTTAATTGGGGGAATTAGTCGGTAGCAGCGGTCACGACTGGCTATCACCTTGAAGGACAGAGAAGGCTGTTGAGTTGTTGGCGTTTATTGGTGGAAGCAGAGTGACGTTTACACAGAATACATTTAATTGTAATGGCACGATAATATATATAAGAGGTTGAGTCACATTCATCTAATTGCATACATGTAATTATAACAATTCAATACGTGTACAACACGTACGATCATAATAATACAATCGGCATACAACCGGTAATAACATGACTGTAAAGATGTACAATATATTTGTGTAACGGATGGTTATTAAAAGGCATTAATTACGCGAAAATATGTCTGGTAGAAAACAGTAGAAAAACAGTCATGCGTGGATATTCTGTTATAAGAGACAACATAAATACATGTTGGCCGACTCAGTTTTCAATGTTACTAAGTTGCAGGCAAATCATTGCTATGAGTATGTGTCACTGAATGTAGGAACGTACAAGTTATTGACATTGGTACACATACTCATATTGGGATGTTGCCGTGCAACTAGTATACTAATATACTAATATACTAATATACTAATATATGTTCGCGAGAGGAAGTATTGTCTGGATATTAAGTCAATGATAATTTTCACAACGCTACGATATAGTCGAAATAGATCTAACCTACATCTAACGTATTAAGATCGTAGCTGACAAAATAAGTTAGGTTGATTGATATATATTTTCTAATAGGAATTTGGTGTTAGAAGAAAGCTATGACATGTATATAGAGGGGTGTGATGTTTTCTATACGAAGATATCATGTTATACACGCTATCATCGAGTTCCTGTGTTAAAAACAGTAGTTTCAATAACGTCTCAAATAGGTCATTCCGACATTAAACAGGCAGTCAATCAGGACAAATCGATAAGCTCCGTGCAGGTCAACTGCTTTTTCATGTCATACAAACACATCTCGGTTGCTGGCCTTTTAATAATACATGTTTCGTTATTACCTTGAGATTGTACGATGGGACTTGCCATATGTCATTGTTGTTAACAGCTGAATGACTAAAATATTTATACAGATATCACACCCGCCCCAGTGCAGCCGACCGGGTCTTATCCAGTGAACAGTGACTGTTGACGAAGCCAGCAGAAGACGGTGTCGTGGTTGCCGAAGTGTAAGGCAGAGCCGTAACTGCTGCAATAGCAGCGGATGGTATTTTTTATATACGAATTACTTTCAAACAATAAAAAAATAGATTAACATTCACTGATCTATTTTTTCACTATCAACCATGTTAAAGTCCAAAAAGCGTTTAGTAAGTTGTGTTGAACGCCGTTTTGAACAGTATTACAGTTATAAGACGGCGCGTCAGCTTGGGTAGAAAGTGACACATGTTTTTGGCAGAGACTTCTTGTTGCCATTGAAAGGACGTTGTAGCTATATGTAGACGTTTGCCACTTGTGAAACCACGGTATGGTTTTGACAAACATACTTCGGGATTCGAACACATGATCATAGATTTGTGGCACGCCTAAAGGGAAGCAACTCTTAGAAGGGTGAGCCCCAACATGACATTGTTTTATTTCAGTTCTGTTAAGGGAGACGCCTATATACTTGTACGGCAGAGCAATGTTTCAAATACGTGACGGATTATTTCCGTGAAGATACATGATGATAACATTTTGGTACAGTGTAGGTTGTTGAAATTTTGCCTCGTAATAAATTATTTCCCATAAAATCTCGAATATCCAGGTTGATATTGATATGCATGTGAAATGAAGGAAAATTGATAAAGCGTATTAAAAGGAGAGGCCGTAGCGTCAACATATTGCAGCCATTAATCACGTGATGATACATCGATATCTTGGCGAGATGTGATAGCTGAACGAGATCCGGTGTTAAAGCAACATCGATGCATCGAACAAATCGCTTTTGGCCGATGTATATAACTCAATCAAAGTGGAATGTCGAATTTGATTCTTAAATACGAAAAAATAAACCTTGTTATACAAGGGTCTCTTTGAAGGTTTTCAAAGAAAGTAAAACCCGATATTATTTTGTTTTTGCTGTCGCCTCTGTATGAGATGAGAGAGTATTTCGTCCCCTTCACATACGTACAATTTGCATTATCCATAGGTCTGTGAAACATACATGTTGCGTGTGGGAGTTATAACCTAGGTTCATATAAGCAGGTAATCAAGATGTTTCTTACAATAATTAACACTCGTCCCCAAAATATAGTGTGGGAATATACCACATAACTATCACAAATTACAAATAGACATGTTTCTGCAGTGAGCCCGTTTGATGGCTTTTGATGATGTTAAATATAGTTTTCTGTGCATTCTGAGTGGTATATTATGGGTACTCTACTATATAACAAAGTATTATTTTAATGAATTTAGTGTCTCATAGGCCCTAAGGCCGTATATTGTATGTATGTTTTTACATCAAGCTTTGTTCTACTCTATACAGCCCTTGGTAACACTTAAATAAATTAATCATCATCATCATCATCATCATCTTCTTCTTCTACTTCTATGTTAGAAAAAAGCTCACTTGTAGAGCTCCGGATTTGCAATAAAACACGGGACTTAATAACCTATTCCCCTTAACAGTAGACTTGCACCAGTCTCCAAACAATTATTGTTAGTTTAAATCATAATTCCTAGATTATTTAAATAAGAATAAACCTTCTCAGGAGGATAGCGTTTAAAAACAAAATTACCCAATTTAAAGCGAATTTCGTTTTGTCTCCCCTCAGTATGAAACACTTTAGAATCGATGGCCTAAAGAACCACAAGGACTTCGTCCCAACCAGATCAAAATACATTCAATTTGCCAAAGTTTGAAAAACTGCTGTCAGTAGTTTGAAATGTCCCAACTGCATGCACAAAAGAGCCTAGCTGATTATCTCATCGCCATTGTTCTCGCACCTTGTTCTCCGAAAAACAAATAAACAACAAATCAGACCAATTGCAAATTATTTTCACAAAAGTAAAAAACCTTTAAGATATTTCACCAGCTCTGTTAACACTTTAAGCAAAACGCCTGAACAGGGACGAATGATCTTCTGAAATGTCACTTTCAGTTGTCTCGCTGAGTAAGACGTGGACAATGTGTTTATATTGATGCAACGTGTTTGTCACCTATCCGCTTGTCAACAGTGTTCCACAGGTCCAAGCCGATGTATAGATTATTACCCAGTCATCTCACATACCCTGGTCGTTTACGCAGCTGTATGCAAAATGTAAATGGACGAAAAATATTCTACGAGTATTGAGATTTAATTTCTGTCAGAACGCTACGTCCGCGATTCATTTACGTCATAGCACAGGATGTTACAAATTTTACTTGAGATCATTCTCTTTGAGGGATATTTTGGCTTCATTCCCTCGTATTCTGTATCTCGTTCCGTACTGTTTGTGATCGAAATGTCAGATATATCTCCTCGTCCTTATATAACAAAATACATTGGTCGTGTTTCTGAATACTTAATAGACCCGTGAAGATCCGGGTTAGAATAAGTTTTCAGCAACCTATGCTTGCCGTAAAAGGCGACTAACGGGATCGGGTGGTCAGGCTCGCTGACTTGGTTGATGCATGTCATTGTGTCAAAATTGCGAGGATCGATGCTCATGATATCAATCACTGGATTGTCTTGTCCAGACTCTATTATTGTTGAGTCCGGCGTGAAACAATTAAAACAAACAAACAGACGAATAATTAATACTTACATACATTATTTAATAAACATTCACTGTTGTTTGATAACGAATTCATCTCAACGTTTTCTTTATAAAATATTTTTATAATGGTATTATAATAATATACATCGCAAACAAGACTACACCAAGTAGATGCTCTGTTGAATTTTTTTCTGTAGAACGTCAGTGGAGCCTGACAAACTTGAAACAATGACTGTGTCCTTCCCTTTCAATTATATGTGCGGTTGCAGGATAATATGGCATTCGTGTTACTAATATACTATTTTAGTAACGTGTGCAGTATGAACAGAGCTGAAAATATATATTGCCACAATATAGCGGAAATACTTCTATAAATACAACTTTCATATGATAATACTGTACTTGCAGGACTTTCACTTGTGTTTAGAAGGAAAAACAACGATGTTGACATGAAATTCCATATTTCCCATGACAATATTGATTACCATTGTAACACTTGAATATCAAATATGTCTCATACCTGTAAATCTTCTTAAGCGTTAAACACGTCAGCAGGTGAAGGCATCCATTGTGTGAGACTTCCTTGTATCAAGTAAACTTATTACCTTGAACTTAATTGAGCTCAGACAATAACAATTTGATTAATCCGCAAAGTAATCAGTTAATTGCTAATGACAACCTTGGCATGTTTATCGAGAAGACCGACTCACTATCCAGTTAAGCAAAAAGTAATCATGCTCACTGACTACCTCTATGTTCATTTTATAGCGGCCTTCAAGAGCGAGGCACAAATAAAAACTGCAAATATCAAAATGTAATTATCACACCAAAGCAAATGGCAAACTTGTTGCATCTGTCACATCAGTAAACATAAAGCATCGACCATGTAAGGCTCCTCTTCAAGTTGTGTTTGAAATATCGTCAATATTGACTGGGCGGTAAAGAGCAGACGACAACTGTTGCTTGTGCTTGTGACGTCAGCATCGTCTGTTCGCTTAAGCAGACGACACTGGATGGCCTGAGTGCAGAGGAAACTGATTTCACATACAGTTTCAGGGCTTCGTTCGATAACGACATGCCCAAAACCTGAATACATGATATACGCTGACGAGCGGTAGACACGCTACGCTTACAGCAGCCGGCGCCGTTCTGATTGGTTGGCCGAGGACCTCAAACAAAAAGGAACATCCTCGGCGTATAGATATGTCGACCCTCTGGCATGGTGTTGACTTCTACTGCATGTGTGTACAACGATCTGGGCGCTATGAACGAATAACCACCTGACCGAGCGTGCTTTAATGGAGTGATGTCGACATTTAAATCACGTTTACCTCTTTCTAAGTTCATTGTCAGTTAAACAATGAAAAAGATGGTACCTGGAAGTTGGAAAGTGGTGTGTGCTGCCTCTTGTGCATAGCTGCAGTTTACGGGACATTGTGATCATGGATTTTATTCTCCTTTCCGTGTATATCCTTACCAACATCTGCATCTCCCTGGGAGGGATGACACCCAAGACTATCATTATTGCATCAGGTAAGGCCAGCCGTTTCTGTATCACACCCTACAGTTCATGTAACATGTATTGATGGGGAACTGTTATTCACGTAGGATTAAAATGAATAGTGACCGTTCAACTTATAACAAATCTGCAACGCCAATGGAACTCGAGGTTGCATGTCCACTATTTCCAAAATGCTATTGTTTATTATTATATTCGGAACTTGCCCCAACGCGAAGCTATATTCTGTTCCAAATCAAGTTTATGTTAATTAAATGTTAATGCAACGGTATGATTTTGAATTTGAAATCATTGATAGCATTTTTGGAGTACTCGTTGCTTTCTAATCATGTAAGTCATTTTCACTGTTCAGGAATATTCGAATCGTCCTGTATGTTCAGAATACCCTAGAAGAGTTAAAAAAATGAAAACTTCATTTTTTTTAAATGACTGGTAAGGTATGCCTATGTCGTATATATACTTATTACCAATGGTACACTAACATGTATACGCTACCATATACTGTAGATGCATCTTATAGCAGTATATTACAACAGGTCATGACCTGGTTCGTTGAGTGCCGGTAGTATGGAATTACTGTGTACGTAGTTACCAGCATTCATTCGATCTTCAAATACAGATTCCGTTTTGTTAAAAAAACATACAACACACTGTATAATTGACACTGTTGTGTTGAACCATGCAGCGAAACACAAACTATTTAAAACTCTATGAAAAAACAAGCTTCAAATGCCATTTTATTGAAATCTTCTCTTTTGCTCGATTATTCGATACTGTTTGTATGAATATGACATGTGGTTCTTCAGCACGTTGGATATCAGTAAACATTCTACACAGGAATTTGGGGGATAGTTTGCTAAACAGACATCTCCGCTCACGTTAATAAAAACCCTCATTGATTGCTTCTATACTGTAGTGTCAAGGGCCTGTTAGTGATATTTCGCACTGGTTCATTGACAGTCTTCTCAAGGTAAACCAGGGGTCGTTACATGTTCAAGACCTTGTAAACACTTAACATTTATAAATACTTGTGCTCCTGATCATAGCAGCAACACATTGTGACATTGACAGCAGATAATGACTTGATACAATGTCCATGTATTTAAGGATGAACTGGGCTCGAAAGCCTGGTGCCCATGACTAAGGTTAGACACGGTCATCATACATGTGTAGACAATGTTCCTGTGTATTTAAAGTAATCGGTAATTGTAAAATGCAACTGGGTGTACTTACAAGCAGCAAGATCTGAAAGTACCAGTGTATGTACCGACACAATGTACTGAAAGAATTAAAAAGTGGAAATCCATGTCAACCGTGTATCTATTGATACAAAAGCTTCGAAATTCGTACCAATTTGAGATGTAGTAAAGTGTTGCTTTAAGACCAGATGAAATGCCTGAATATGCACTGCCTGTTTATAGTAACACCTGCTTGAGCATTTACCACCTCTTTATAGTAATTATCATTAGGGTGTATTCCACCGCTTTGAGGAAATACTTGCCTGAGCATATATAACCTCTTTGACGTAATACGCATCTGAGCATATACCACCTCTTTAATATGCACCTGAGCATATACCACCTCTTTAAGGTAATACTTGTTTCAGCATCTATCACCCCTTAAAGTAACCATTACCCACTGATAACTGGATGGGCTCTGAATAAAAGAAATGATAATTGATGTCAAAGTAAAATCCGAATACTGGAAAGTCATATCTGATTGACTGTTTGTCATAACCGATATCGTTAAAACCAAAGTTCACAATTTGACCCAGGTGTCAGTTAATGCTTTGCTTAAAGACATATGCATACTTATTTACCATTGATTCCGATTATGGCATGCGAAGAATTACCCACCACACACCCCACAAACCCCGACCCCCCCCCCCCCCCCCCCCCCATCACTCCATCCACATCCCACACCAACAGTCATAATGTTGAGGTTAATAATTTTCAATGAGTAATAAAAAATAAGCTGCTCGCATGAACTTTCCTCATTTTTAAACCTTTATCTTATTAATTCCTCCCTTTTCAAGACTTCAATTTGATAAATTCATTTTATGAAATTCCCACAAATCTTTGTTTGGTGGGCCTGGCAGATAACGTCATACAGTGCAAAGGAGGAAGCCAAAAGTTCCACGCAAAGCTCTTTAAACATTTGTGAAACTATCACGCTCATGTGTTCTGAAAGTTAAATAGCGTGAAGCGTCATTGATTTTTTAAAAATCTGAAACCTTTAATACAGACTGGACATCATCGTGATATGAATTCTCTAAAATTGAAATTATTTTGTTCTTTTGAAATGAAAAGCATCTAAAAACAAAACAGCATATGTAAGCATGTTTCAAATCTGTACAATAGGAATGAGACTCGTTTTCAAGAAAAGCTGTCAATGCATCCGGTTTCAACATTTAAAATTAATTTTCAGAACAACAGAGGAAGGGGTTATTTATGAACATGATATTAGCAATACAATCTTCAACACCACGCCCCTTACCGGTCACATTAACACGAAACAAGGATATACATTGTTCGGTTACCCGTACGGGTTCCTTCCGTTTGTCAGATTCAGGGAAATATCAGTTCAGACAATACGATACTGTTATCAAACTCTTTCATATCCCTGACGTTTCTGCTTTCTATTTTATGTATAAGTCTATGCTTATTCAGCGTATACATATGTATGTTAATGAACTGTTTAATTACATTGAAGAATGACGCGACATAATGAGAAATGTCATTTTAGTTTATATATTAATTAATTGAAATATTAATACTTTCGACAGGGCTGCCATAGTGCTGATTTCAAAGGGGAAATTAAAATATTGAAATTATGCATGCATGTAGACAATCTCATCCGAGTGCCTTTTGAAATTAAATATATCAACACCAGTCGATAAAAGTTTAAAACGCCGAGGAATGCTTGGTATCAAAAGCCACGCGGATGGAATTCGATTTATCATCAAAATTCCTTCTCCCACTTTTTCAGTTTGTGTAAACAGTAATAACCAGTGTCTTGAGTGTATACAGCTAACCGGCTTCTGTGCTGAGATTAGTGGTGTCATTTTATCAGGTTTTTGTGGAATTGTGAATGTCAATACAAGAACTGAATTGATTGTTTTAGAGGCGTTCGAGTACTTCCTTTGCACTGCTAGCGAATTGGTTAATGCTGGAAAATCGAAGTACTCGTGTGGCATGTAACATTTATTCTATACCAGTTTTAAAAATGCACAAATCATGCAAGTACATGTTGGTAGATATGAATAAATGAACGCGACGTTAAGCCCGATTTCCCCTCACGCCACCTCACCGACTGTCATATCTGTCACAAACACACGCGAAGGCAAGTCAAATGGTCAAATTCTATATATCCGGCAGCCACATAATGAACAGTTGTCCTACTTTTCTCATGTCTGTAACCGCGATGCTGAACACCAATGAGTGTCACGAATGACAGAGTCGTCTACAACGCCACAATTTGCTGTGCAGAGTTGCGTCCCTTAGACGTGTCATGATCCTATGGTCGTGGGTTCGAGTCCAAATTTAGCCCTAATTATGATCATCAGCATCAGGCCATTACAGCCATATCCGAACGCGTGAATTTCAGTAAGTGCACCACTTCTGACTTTCCTCTCACACCAAACGAACACGCCCGCCGTGATATATCCGCAGTACTCTACTCAGGGCATAACTCACTCACTCACACAATCGCACTTGACATCGCGACTCCACCATTGCAGCGTAGCGCATCTGTGATGGTGCACTTGTTATAGAATGGTTAAACAACATATCAGTTTGAGTTCAGCTCATGTGATGTATATTTCAACACTGTAAAACGATTACAACAGAGATTAAAAAGGGTTAAGAAAATTGAAATATGTGAACTTTCTCATTTAAAATAGACCGTATACAGAAACTTTACATGTTATGTAAGGTAAATTCCTTATGTGTTCTCCGAAATTTCCTGCCCTCCCAGGAGCGGTGGAGTAGCCTAGTGGTAAAAAGCGTTCGCACGTCTCCCCGAAGACCCGGGTTCGATTCCCAATATGGGTACGATGTATGAACCTATTTCTAGTGTTTCACTGTGGTATTACTGGAATATTGCTAAAAGCGACGTAAACTCCGGCTCATTCATTCACTCACTTCCCTGATCCCATTGTTTTCCAAAGGGTATTCAGGGTCAGGATATGTAACATATGCTTGTCCATAGAGGCGATTAAAGGGACATGGTGATCGTGCTGGGCGGCCTGGAACGTTGATCACAAAAATCAATCTCTGGATGTCAGGTTCAAACTTTATTATTGACAGGCCGACGTGATATCGATGGAATGTTGCTAATTTCGGCGTTAAACGTCAATTCAATAAAATAAACAATAGTATGAACTTTCATGGTACTGTCAGTAACTGTATTTGTAGCTAAGTAAAACTTGTCGAGTGAGTGAGTGAGTGAGTCGAAACCGAACCTTCCTCCATGTGACGAAGAGAAAGCTTTATCATCTAGACTATTCAGCGGGCCCGAAATGGTTATTAACCTCGTGCGATCCAGCGAATGCTTTAGATAGCATCAGTTGCAAATTGCACCAAGAGCAAAAGTTAATACAATCATATATAATGCGGAAGTATCACAAACGCACACGGCTTGAAGTGGGGTCGAAATACCAGTCATATGTGAACAGGGTGTACAGATCGGAAATAACAAGAGGTTTCCGATTATATTACTTTCCGCCACTGACATGTAGGTTTTTATCCCTACAGTTTCGTAAACTATGTAGAAACAGGGTGAAGCTTGTTGACTGGATTCTGTGTCAGAAATTGGAAATAATGGTACAAAGGCAGGATATGCCATGTTCACTGACACATCAAGTAGAAAATGCTTTCAAAACCCTTTCCATAATCATAATATATCTCTGCTGAAAAAATATATTGTACGATCCCTACAAAAAGGGATGTGTTTATGAATCACCATAAAAGTGTTATGACACCAGGTGTTCGCGAAAGGGTGTACGTATCCTGCA